TAGTCCAAAATCAGGCCTTTAGGGCCTGTAACCCCAAAGGTCGGGCCTTTAGGCCCTGGTGTGTCCCTCTAGCCCTAAGTCGGGTCCGGTAGGACCCGTGTGAGTCGAAGATGTAACACACTCCCCCTCTTAAAATTCCGAGCTACCTGCGAGGGCGAAGTTGTCTGTCCGATACCGGGGTGGGTCGGGCAGGACGAGCTGCGTCCTTAGCAAGGCTACGCTTCTCATAGTCTGCGAAGATGAGGGGTGCAGAAGTATGCAAATCTTCACTGGAGATCCACCGAGTGTCATCAGGCGCACATTGCTTGAATGTGACCTTGTACTGCCTTGGCTTGTTGCCATACTTGCGGTGCGTGATGACTCGGTCAACTTCCTGATGTCCGTCCATAGAAGGCGGATCCTGTGATCGACGTCCGGGGAATTCGTCAGCTGGAGGTGGCRTGTAGATGGCCAACTTCGATGCATGTAGGACCCGATGCACTGTTAGGTGCGGTGGAATGTTGATCACGAAGGAAGGACCGGCGGGGTCGTCTCCAACGACAGAAGTGACTTCCCATGATCCGAACCATTTCGGAAGGAGTTTGCGCGAAACATCCTGCTCGAGCGCAAATTCCTCGGAGAGGACCCAAACAAGGTCTCCCTCGCGGAAAGGACTTGGAAGTCGATGTCGGTTAGCTTGCTGCTGCATGCGGACCTGAGCCTTTTGCATATTCGCGCGGGCTTTGATCAGCAAGTCTCGATACTTCCTGACAGAAGCGGGAGAGCAAGGGATGTCTATGTCGGCAGCCTGTGGCAAAAGGAGATCAGCGAAGATCCGTGCTTTCTCTCCACCATGATGTAGCTCGAATGGTGTGACGCAGATCGCCGGGTGCACCGAAGTGTTGTAGGCGAACTCGATGTCGGGAAGCCGGTCAACCCAATCTTTCTGGTCGGGATGGATTAGCGTACGCAACATCATCTGAGCAGTCTGGTGCGCTCGCTCCGTCAGACCACCCGTCTGCGGGTGCCGAGCTGAGCTCGGCTTCATTGTCGTGCCGGACTCCGTCATGAGAGAAGTCCAAAAGGCTGACATGAAGCGAGTGTCTCGGTCGCTCACTTTGTCTTCCGGAACACCTTGGTTGGTAATCCAACCGGTGTGCAAGAGTCGTGCGAGCTCAGGCGCTGCAGCATGATATTTTCAAGGAAGAAAGCGAGCATACTTACTCAAACGGTCAACGATCGTGAGAATACCGTCATGGCCGTGGCGATCGCGGGGAAACGGGCCTGTCACGTCCATAGCAATGGAGAGGTGTGGTGCCCGAGGGATCGACAATGGTTTCAGTTCGCCGAAGGGGACTCGAGATCGACCCTTGTTACGGTGGCAAACTGCACATGACTCAATGTACCTCGTGACGTCGTGAAGGACGTCGGGCCAGTGAAAACGCTGGCGGAGGCGTGCGAGTGTGCATTTCACGCCAAGGTGTGCTGAAAGTCGTGC